GCGCGGGGCCGCCGCTGGGGTCTCAGAAGCGGTGGGACGAGCTGCTGTGGCTGCTGCGCGTCGCGCGCGAGTTGGCGCTGACGTGGCCCACGCTGCTGCACCCGGTCGCAACCTCGCCGCCCCCAAACGGCGCCCCCTTGACCGTCGCCGCGGGCGCGGCGCGGCGGCAGCAGCCGGAGCGGGAGGCGCAGGCGGCGGAGGCGGGGCGGCTCTGGCAGGGGGTATTTGACGCGACCCTCAATTTTGGCGCGGCGTCTCGAGGCGCAAAAGGCGGCCCGGGGGCAGCGGCGGCGGCGGCGCACCAGCACCAGCACCAGCACGGCGCCGCCGCCGCCTGCTTCGGGCTGCTGCCGGCAGTCCAAGAGGCGGCCTCATGGCTGCTGCAGTCGCAGCTCTCCTGCCGCCTGCTGGCCGCCGCGGCCGGCGCGCCCAACGCCGCCGCCCTCGCGGCACGGCTGCGGCCGCTGTGGGCGGCGCCGCTGCGCGACCCGGAGGCGGCGCTGCTGGCGACGATCGCGTCCTGTGGACGGCTGGCCGGCGCAGGGCGAGAGGACGGGGACTTGCTGGGGTCCCTCGTGACTGCCTGCATCCAGACGATCACCGGCGGCGGCCCCGGCGGCGCCAGCGCGACCGCGTTGGCCGCGGCGCCCCCGCTCGGCCCGCGCCCGCCGGTGCTTGCGGCCCTACACGCGCTGCTGCTCGCGCCGCCGGCGCTCGGCGGCGCCGCGCTGCTTGAATTAGACAGTGAGGGCGCGCGTGCGGCGCCGGACGACGAGGCGCTGGGCGCCACGGGCGCGGGCGCGCCGCTGGTCGGCAGCGGGACGCTGGCGGCGCGCGTGCTGGCCCAGGTGGATGCATGGGAGGCCGGCCTCGCGCCGCCCAGCCTGCTGCAGTCGCCCGCGCTCGCGGCTGAGGCCGCGGCGGCGTCCGCCGCCGGCTCGAGCTTGGGCGCCGGGCTGGCGGCCGCGCGCAGCGGCGCTGCAGCGGCGGCGGCGGCGGTGCCCTCCGCGCCCGGCGGTGCATGCGGCAGCGCGGTCGGCCTGGCGTGCGGTTGGTGGGCGCCGGACGCGGAGGCGTCGCTGGCGGAGCGCCAGCTCAGCGCGCTGGAGCCCGCGTGGCAGCGGCTGGCGCGGCGCCTGGAGGCTGCGCGGGCGGCGGGGGTCGCGGCACGGGTGGCTGCCCTGGATGAGAGCGAGCGATGCGGCGGCGGCGGCGGCGGCGGCGGGGTCGAGGACGAGGACGAGGCGGCGGAGGGCGGGGCAGGCGGAGGTCGGGCATCGGC